TATATATATTTTTTTAATATTTAATATAAATATATGATTTAATATAATTAATATATTTAAGATTATAATATATTAATTAATAATTGTGTTTTTTTCCCGTTAATTCGATATCAATATTTAATTATTGATTATGTAAATATAAATAAAAAATAATAAAATTAATTTAATTTAATTGAATAATTCTATTTTCAAGGATGAGGCAATCTCCCCATCCCATTTCGTTTAGAATAGAACGGGCGTAATTCAGATATGACATGATGATTGAACATGACCCCTGCTCGACAATAGTGAGCCTATCAGTGTGGTACACTATATACAGTTGCATAATTATGTGTACAAACATATATATAATACAGAAAATATATTGTTTGCACGTGCATGGCTTGAATTTCTTTCAGATTGTATGTTTGATTTTAACTATTTTAACAAGTAGAATGTCATTGAACAAATTGATTGATATTGAATTATGTTTTCCTCTTTGTCAGAATAGGAAACTCAAATCCAGATTCTTCTTCGAAGATCGGAAATGGAGCCTGGATTCAGAGAAATGAAATCGAGATGGCTTCATCAGAGTACCCCTCAATCCACTGGTACATTATTCCTTCCATCAAATGGCCATTTCGGGGTGTAATTACCACATTTTCAGGCACAGATACCTTGAAATCCATGGTTCTCTTTTCCACTCCCTGGACCTCCTTCGCTGATCATGAGGCCTCCCCAGGAAACCCCGGAACGAAATCACCCTTTTCGGACCCTGGGAACATCAACGATAAATGGTGGATGTTCCAGTCCTGTTGAGTTACCAGAGGCTAATTGGATCGAATTGGGCTAATTGCCATGTGATTCAACATGGATAAATTGTTGCATCCAGATTCATGTTTGATCATTTTGATGATTCAGATCAAGGAGAAAAGAACTTGAATCTGACTGTCCAACATCTGCCTCCGCACAGGGGTCGCGGAAGCCCATGTCATTGCCTTGGCAGGTTATAGGCCAGGGAAAGCAACCCCAAAATCGATTGAAACTTTGGACACCTGGGAATTATGAGGTGCAGAAAATATCATCACGACATCTGTCTGTCTATCTATTTACCTTCCTATGCTTGGTGCGATTGCAAGCTAGCGACATGAGGCTTTGATGCAAGCGGATTCGCATGTGTCGGTGTTTGTTGATTCCAAATTCCAACATGCTGTAAAACTGATTCTCATCTGTGTGAAGCAGGATCCGCTTATCTTGATTCCTATGATCGCTTTTTTTTCACTATCATGTATCTGACCGAATTAATTATGGTGATTCACCACCCTGGAATGCGTGTTGCTTTCGAGGTATATAATTCCCGACAAAAAAAACACGGGACATGGCGGCATGGAACCAGCAACGTTGCTGTATCTATCCTTGCCCTCCAATATCGAATTCCCCCTACGGGCCCCCAAAATGAAAAATCAAAACTAAGCCAGGGTTTCTAGCGGGGATGTATAATGATGGGAAAACGATGATAATTGATTGCCCTCTGGTAATCAACCATGGCTTGCTGGTTTTCACTCCCCCATTTATATCATTTATAGATGATTTTCTCATGAAAATACCATTTATAGTGGATTGTTCTATATTTGTCCCATGCAAATGTCGAATTCGTTCGTGGTTTTCCCAGCTGGCCATGATGACGCCAACTCGGCTCATCGGCTCATCCCCCGCCTTGTACAATGTCGTCCACCACGTCAATCAAACCTGTCGATGAAGGGTGATCAAACATGGCTAGCTGGGAAATCCCCGATGAAAATGGAGGTTTCTAGCTGGGAAAATCATGGGAATACAGGGCGAAATCCTCTATAACTGAAGGTTTTAATAGGAAAAGTCATCTATCAATGGTGGATTTTTCCAGCAAGCCATGTTTGATGACCGTTTTCGGGGCGAATGGGACTTTCGGGAGTCAAACCTCATGGAGAACAACTCATCTTTGGGATTCCTTTGGGAAAGATGGGTTGTGTTTTTTGTTGGTCTCCAAGAGATTCTCCGTGAGGTTTTTGTCTTGGGATTTTTTGCCATAAAAACCATTGCCAGCTTTGGATGAACAAACTATCAGCTATCTTTGGACGCTCATGGAATCCTGGGGGACCCGGAAAGTGAACTGCAGCGACGCAGCGATGCCCAAAAACCCTCGGTGGCTGGAGATTATGCTGTAATTATATGTATAGACTATAGTATAGACTGTGTATGATCATGTTGACTTATTCACTGGGGATTTCAGTTGGTAAACCCAACTAAATAAACCATAATTGGTTGGTATCAACCATCCCCAAATGATAGGTTCATTATTGGTTTGCCCACATTACACTTTAATCATCACTGTGGATGACTATGGATATCCCTATGAGCCAACCCGTACACTTTTACATCGTGCCTGTAATGGACATGACCACCACCTGAAGCAACTTCACTGGCTGGTCCGGTCGATCCCATCCCCCAAAAAAAAACACCCATTGTATGGTCCCAATGGGTCCCAATGGTGTGTTGAAAATATTAGGGGGATGGGAGTATTCATCTTAGATCATCTTAGTCTATGTGCATCATGGTTCATTAATATTGTACCCTGATCATTGGTCAAGATCCTCAACTATTCACTACAACTCAAGTGTCATTGCTTCTCTATATACCGATTCTTGGATGTTGTTGGCAAGTATACAGTGTACATACATAAATTGTATCTTATTTTATATAATAAATATATATATACACCCCGACCTTCTATTCTACTGGCCTTCTGACAGTGCAACACTGAAGATGTGAAGGAGCTCAGACTAGCTCCAACCACTACTAATTTTCTCAGCGAAACCGACCCGCTTGAAGCTTTGGCACCCAAGTTGTTTTGCAGTCCCTCAATGTCCCTCACATGTAGTTCTTCTATCGGTATCAGTATATGTCAAAACGATCGTACTCGGGTCTTCACTTGTATCACTGGTAGATCCTAATATGAATCTCCCTATTCTGATGGTCCTTCATCCTCAGTAATGTTTTCGAACCGGATAAGACCATGTGTCATCTGACCCTGAGACGTGACAGCCCTAAGATCCCTAAGTCAAGGCGCTGAAAGAGCGATGATACCAGCCAGCAAGAACATGATCACCTCAGCTGACGCTGGGGTCCCCAGTTCGTGGCTTTTTTCATCATCGGAAACCAGTGAGTAGCACACCACTTATTCATCCTTATTCCTAATCATGAACCAGCAGGGGTTTTGGACTGCTTACTCATCTTGAGCATCTTGAGTAGTGAAATACTGGAAATGCTGTGGAAGTGGTGGGTCATTCATGCTGTGATTTGTGATTAATGCACTAGCAAATGGTATCGGTTGAGTCATGGGGGTCCCAAAGACCCGCAAACTTGGGTCTTTTTGCGGGTTTACTACGAGAGCATGTTGTGAGGGTTCCAATAATCTTGACCGATCCCCAAGGTGAGCATCATCCCAAATTTATCACAATCATCTTCATTTGCGCCCTTGTTCCACTGATTTGGGTCCTTCTCTTCCCAACCTTTGCAGCCCAGAAATCAGTTCAATCCTGATCAACCTGCTTCACCGTCCATGGTTTAGACCCTAAGCTGGTTCAAGTCTCTATTGCTTTATGGGACATTTCCCCCAGGTTGCTTTCATGATAAATACCAAACTTATTGCCGGGCTTTGGCCGTTTCACCCCCCGAGATCTATGGCCACTTGGCAAGCCAGGTTGCTGAGGGCCGCTGCAAACGCTTCACTAACCAACCCACTAGAGCTTTGCCAACCACCGCCTCGCTGCGGCCCACAGGCCAGAGAGACCATGAGAGAATGCTGAGTTGGTTCGTGTCGCCTACTTGGCTTTAAGGACTTCAGTATCTTTATATAGTGAAAACTTTAGTAAAAACTTTGCCTTGGTTCTCAAAATGATAACCACCAGAATCCATGACATGTATTGTACTGTGCATACTGTACTTCCTTGACCCACAAGTTCCGCACCCCAAGAGCCGTGGCGAAACCCAGCCAGAGGGAGTAGTCAACGGTCGCCGTGCCTGTGCCGGGCGCAAGGTTGGAAGATGTTGGCCTTCTTGGTGCCGTCTTGCAACGAACAACATCTGAGTTCTGGTGAAGTACCAAAGATAAATGCCAAAATGTGCCTTAGATTCCATTAGTATGCACAAATCACCTGTTAAACATGTTTTTTTCGATTGTTGCCATCGTACTACCAGAAGTCACTGCTGCGGCCCCACAAAATGAAACATGTAAGATTTGACCCGCCAATAATGGGAAGTCTTCAACCCCCCAACCCATAGCGGGGTTTCCTCGGTTCCTCTCTTTTTTGGTTTATCAATCGCCATTCACAACCGGCATCTGAATAATCTACATATACATATGTACATATATATATATATGCACATGTTTGTATGTATATGTGTATATATATATACATATATATGTATATAAATATACTAGTTGGTGGTTTCAACCCCCTTAAAAATATTAGTCATTTGGGATCATTATTCCCAATATATGGAAAGATCAAATTCATCTTCCAAACCACCAACCAGTATTTATATATATATATACATGTATATATAAATAACTATAAATATATAATAATATATATCAATATGGGTTCATTGGATTTTTTTCCAAGATTCATATCATAATCACACCATCTTCGAAGAAAAATCATGCCTTGCACCCAAAAGGCGATGGCCGTGGAGGTGGACATCACAAAGAGCGTGGTGGCCTCGGATCGGATTTTTCTTGGCCAAAAACTGGGGAGATTCGGCCAGATATTGATATTAATATGATGTGAAATATGGATATGTACTATGGATATATACTATGGATAATATGGATAATATGATTTTTTAGGTGATATAAATGTGAGAATATGGATATATATACCCTGTATAATATGGTAAATGAATGTAAATGACGATGATTGGGAGATTCTTGGGTGAAAGATGGCCCAAACAACTGGTTTCATGGTGTGATTTTTAGATGTAACATCTCATCGGGAAATTATTGGTGATAAATGTGATGTAAATGACGGTGAATGTGATATAAATAATGAAATCATGATAAAAAGATGGCAAATGATTTAAATGATGAGAAATAAATGGTAAATGAATGTAAATGAATGTAAATGATTGTGAATGAGTGTGAATGATATATATATATATATAAATATATATACTTCTATTCTGTAGTTAGTATAGACTACTATATAATATATATATATACTTCATCCCATAAACCCTACGTAGTTTATATAGTGTTGGATCTTGTCATTTTCAGGGCCCATATTGGCGGTATGGAATATTCGGGAAGGGATTGAATGATGATTTAAAAAACACTATTTTAGACAAATGGTATGTCAAGACCTGGTTCTCACCGGAGATTGGAAGATCAAAATCCATGCTTCCTATCCATATCCTTTTCGCACCAGGTAGTAGTAGTGCATCCAAGAGACGGTGGTAGCACTTTGCACCTGCAGTGATTTTATCCAGGGTTGAATTGAATTGGTTGAACAAATAGAGATTGACATTTAAAATGGGATGTTTAATTGGATTTAATGGGATTTACTGTAATAGAGTGGGATAATTCTGGCTGAATTTTAAAGAATCACCAACCTGAAAATAGATGAAAATAGCTGACTTTTTTCAGCCATTTGGGGATGATTCCCCGAATCCAATTCCCATCATTCCAGTGATGTCACAGTGAACAAATACAGATTTTCTTCAGGATTTTCTTCGCATTGGCAGATTTAGGGATTCGATGTTTTTCCACTTCCGGAACTTCCCAGATATTCGAATGATACTGGTCCTAGAAAATCCAGCAAAAAATCCAGAGCCTTGATCTTTTGGCTATCTTGGATGGTTTCCCCAATCTTAAATCATGTATGATGAGCCTCTGAGGCTACTGGCTCCCGAACATGTCTAGGAAGATGCTTCATGTTGTTTAAACTACTCGTACTAAATTCACGAGAAGAGTGTTTCAGTCTGGGGGAAGGTGACATGATTTGGTTTGATATTTGGAATATTTGGCTTATTTAAGACTTTATCCACTAAGTTCTCATTTCTTCTCCTTGCGGCACCGGGCAAATTGACCTCTCTCCTCAGGTCGTGTCACAAACCCTAAAGTTCCTCTTTCTACTCCTTGGCTTTGTTGCTTGTGGGTGATTTGACTGCAAGTTGTATTCAAATCGAAAATTTACTAACATCAAAATTGGAGGACAATGCCCTAAGTATCCATGAATACTGGCAAGTGCAGATTTCGTTCCAGTTTTGACCCTGACCCAGTGGTGTATTTGGTCAAAGTGAAGGATTTGTCTTTTTGTACATTCACCATTCATTTTACCAATAGCGTGCTTGCAATGCGTCCATTGTATTGCTTTCATTCGGCTTTGCTGTAAATTACCCTAACCCGGGTGAGCGGTGGGGGACTGTTTTGTCGGAAAGGAGCCCTGCATTTCTCAATTGCCCCTCCATAATGTTCCAGACCATCCTTCATTTTGGATGGGAAAAAACAGATTGCCTCAAACCTTTCGTGACCGCTGAAAGCACCATCTCGAATCTCACATCCAACGTCCACACCTGTGGTAGGCAACCCAACTCCAACAACTTTGGGCCTTGGTGTGGAGCAGGCGACCATGGAAGTGTGATCCGCAAAATTGGGTGTTGGTTTCGACCATCCTGACACATGAATCATCATGAATTTTCTCAATCAAAACGACACTTAAAAAATCAGAGTAGTTGCAGGCCATCTATGGTAATCTGGGCATATGATCATAGTTCACTAAGCTGAACATAGTTCGGCCAGCTATGGGGAAGCTTAGCCCCCGGGCCCATGATCATCCCACCTCCAATACCACAGAGGGCTGCCAGGAAGCCCGCCTGGGGATGAGTGATGACCCGTTGATGTGGTCAAACTGTTTTTGACCCATGCAGATATGGGTATGTGAAACCTTAACTTATGCGACATTATGAGATTATATGAAATCATATTGTGGAGGGGTCACATCCATTTCCTAACAATGTTGATTTTCATGGCGATACCAAGCTGTCCCGTCATGCAAAACAAGTGTTTTAAGCCAGCACTTGTTAAGCGCCCGCCTTTCCTGCATCCAAGAGACGAGCAAGGACCAAATCGACACGTACACGGAAGTCTTCGTCCTCGATCAAATCCAGTAGGATCCACCAAGTCATAGAAGGTGACTTACCAATGGGGGTGACTTCGCACCATATGGAGGGTGTTCCAGAGTTGAAGCCAGTTTGCTATGGAAAATGACCAGAATATGACCAGATGATCGACATATCATGACATATCATGACATATCATGACATATCATCTATTTCATGGTGATTGTAGCAAACTGCAACAAATGGAGCTTTCCTTAAAAAAAACATATAAAAACATCTATATATATTTTCCATTGTAAAACGATCCAGCTATTGGAGATCCCCCATTTATGGAAACCCCCAAATTACCAGAGTGCACCTACCTTCGTTCGACCATCTAGGCCACCCCACGTCCACTGAAGACTTCCATCTTCCGGCTGAACTGGCAGCTGAGGGAAAATCAGCAATGCCGTGCACGGGTTAACGTTTTAAGACCTAGGGGGTCGCAAATGTTGGTATTGGATGGTATTGTGATATATCATACCCTCTGGTAAACTAACATAACTATTGAAAATCACCATTTTTAATGGGTAAATCAACTATAAACGGCTATTTTCCATAGCTATGTTAGTCATTACCAGAGGGTATTCTTCTTGTAGTTTAGCAGTCACCAATTCGATCTTTTGGAGCCAAATTCGACTACCGTAGCCTGTTTGCATCATCACATATGATCCGCAGAAAGTTAATTACCAAACTCTGTCAAGTGATTTCCAGGCTAAAAAAAAAACATGCTGATCATCCCCAACAAAAATATGGATCAAACCTTGAGACTTATCATCCCGTTCACGGTTTTTCTTCAGATATGACTCGTGGTATTACATTGAACTATCCAATCTTTCGGAGGTTTCAGTACTTCAATCTACTTGAAAATGTTGCCCTGATCTCTAAAATATGCCGAAAACATCCTAAAGATCTACCTCGACCATCTCAAAAATGATATGCCTCCAAAAAAGGGTTGGAGGATACTGGTCCCAGTCGCGATGGTTGGTTCCCCCCTTTAACAATATGAGATATACCATGATATACTTTGTTTAGTTATACATGAGATGTCCTCACTTGTGTCTTGTGTATGTGTGTATATATACTGTGTATATATATATCATTATATCTATATGGTAGTTTCCATAAATGGGGGTACCCACAAATGGATGGTTTATGATGGAAAATCCCATTAAAATGGATTATTTGAGGGTACCCCTACATTAGGAAATCTCTATATGTGATGGAGATATGATCCATACATATCTAAATCATCCTGGAAAGACGCTTCTATCTTCTTTGTTGGTTGCTATACATACGCAGTTTTCAACCCTGCCACTGCTGTGTGTCATGGTCAAAAAGGGCTATGGTCATCCATCTCATCTTGAAAAATCCAAACATGGGTACATGTGGGCGGGTTGGTGGTGTCAACCCCTCTGAAAAATATGAGTTCGTCAGTTGGGATTATGACATTCCCAACTGAACGGAAAAATAAAATTCATGTTCCAAACCACCAACCAGTGGGTATATTAAACATGATCAAATCCTCTTTTTCTATATGTGACCATCCCTTTCCCATGGGAAAACAGACCATGGCACCTGAGTCCTGCACTGCTGCCACTGCTGCACGACAGGAGGAGGAAACACTCAGGAGGACCAGGATGATGGCCGTCGTCAGGCCGATGATCCAATACCTGATGTGGCTATGGGTCAATACCTATAGATACCATTTTTAGTGGGATGAACATCCATTTACCAGCTATTTTGGGGTTCACCAGGGAGATAGGGTTTTGACCCATCCCCATGTGTCTTTCTTGAAAAATCTCTGGCTGATTTTTACCCAATGAAAAAATCTCCTGCAAATGTTCCGTTGAACCACTTCAGGGTAATATGGATGAAATTTACCAGTAAAAACATGGATGGTTTTATCAAAGAAATTTGGAATTTAACCCAGGAAAAAAAAACTTGAATCTAATCGAAAAACCTTGGGAACTCATCAAGATCAATGGAATTTCGACAGGTAAAACTCACCTGTCCCTTGCATCATGAATTACAGCCAATCCATATCTGCAAAATCTATAGTAACCATATTATGTTGATGTTTGTTGATGATATCCCTACATTTTGGTGGTTGAGCACCCCATATGTGTTTGACATTGTACCAACAGAGATATTCCCCATGTGCAACCTGTTCAAAGATTCTTTGAACTTTGGAACTGCAACTATATACATATATATATATCAGGACATACCACTTTCAGAATCTGAAGCCATTCCAAATGACCGTCATGTTTCATCTTCATCCTTCCATTCAACTGAGGCACCCAATGGTTTGACCCAAACTGCTCCTAAATGCATGGGCGTTTATCTACAGAACTCTGCTTTATCTATGTATATATATATACTGTATATACTCATACTATTTCATATGCACACATCTATGTGGCAGTGATGTTACATATACATATACATATACATATACATGTACATATATATAATATATAATGTGTATAAATATGTATTATTATATATATTATAAGTCACGTCTCCAAGTCATGTCCTTCGATTCTCCAAGTCGCGTCTCCGAGCACATCGCCACCATCCCGGGCGAGGCCCGACCGCCGCGCAGGAGGATGCTGACCACCACGATGCTCCACATGAGGAGAAAACCTATACGGCCAGCCAGAGATCATGGGGGGTCCATGGGTGGATAGAAAAACCCAGAAAAACCAGGGGAAATATAGAAAAAATCTGGGGAAATAGGCTAAGAATTGGGAAATTGATTGGAGAAATGATGTGGACTTGTTATGGACTGGAATTGCACTGAACCTCATATATGGACTTGTATTGAATTACATGGAATGATGGCAGAATTGGTGTATATGAAGTGTATCAAGTGATTGGACACCAAGTATGATATCAAGGTGAGGGAAGAAAGATAGATAGATAGGTAGACAGACAGACAGATAGATAGATAGATAGATCGATCGATAGATAGATAGGTAGGTAGATAGATAGATAGATTAGATAGATTAGATAGATTAGATTAGATTAGATTAGGTTAGGTTAGATTAGATTAGATTAGGTTAGATTAGATAGATAGATAGGATAGAGATAGATAGATAGATAGAAAGATAGACAGATAGATAGATAGATAGAGATAGATAGACAGACAGACAGATAGATAGATAGATATAGAGATAGATAGATAGATAGATAGTTAGATAGTTAGATAGAGATAGATAGAGATAGATAGATAGTTAGATAGATATAGATAGATATAGATAGAAATAGATAGATGTAGATAGATATAGATAGATATAGATAGATATAGATAGATATAGGTAGATATAGATAGATATAGATAGATATAGATAGATATAGATAGATATAGATAGATATAGATAGATATAGATAGATAGATATAGATAGATATAGATAGATATAGATAGATATAGATAGATATAGATAGATATAGATAGATATAGATAGATATAGATAGATATAGATAGATATAGATATAGATAGATATAGATAGATATAGATAGATATAGATAGATATAGATAGATATAGATAGATATAGATAGATATAGATAGATATAGATAGATATAGCTAGATATAGCTAGATATAGCTAGATATAGCTAGATATAGCTAGATATAGCTAGATATAGCTAGATATAGCTAGATATAGCTAGATATAGCTAGATATAGCTAGATATAGCTAGATATAGCTAGATATAGCTAGATACAGCTAGATATAGATAGATATAGATAGATAGATAGATGGATGGATGGATGGATAGATAGATAGATAGATAGATGATTCCTGTTGGTGTTATCCCCAATAATATCAGTTGGTCATATTTCCACTCTTGATGGTACATTCGTGGCTTTATCCTCTGAAAATTCGGAAAATCATTGAAACTCATCATCTCAGTTCTGAATGAAAACATATGGGTGGTTCCAGAAATGGGGGTACCCCAAATGGATTGTTTATAATTGAAAATCCTATAAACATAAATGATTTAGCAGTACACCCATTTTGGGAAACCTCCATATAGCAATACGTTTGACTTACCATTCTTGTAATAAATACCATCCGGTAATCAAACATGGCTAGCTGGGAAATCCCCGAACTAAATGGAGCTTTCTAGCTGGGAAAATAAGTTTGATGACCATGTTTTGCTCAACACGTCACCATGTTTTGATATGTTTTTCTTGTCATATCCCCATGTTTCTTGGTACATCCCTACCATCCCCAGTGCTTTCCGCTGCGCGTTCGGCACCTGCCAACTTTCCCCGCGGATACTGCGGCTGCATCGCCACCGTGGTGCTAACCGAGGTCGTGTCACTGGGCGTGGCGTCCGTGGCGTCCATGGCTTTGCTCAAGGTGCCACTGCCTGGGGAACAGGGTCGGCCATGGAGAAAGTCCAAGATCTTGGATGCACAGCAGTGTAATTTGGAATCAAATCCATGGAGAAATGATAAGATCTTGGCTTCACAATCATGATTCACGGTAGCTTGATGCAGTTTTCCTTCAGCAATCCATGTAAGAATTCTGGGTAGACAATCCTGAGACTTTGGTGAAGACCATCCTGGTAGGAACTGAAGAGCACAAAGGATTCAAATCATTATGATGGGGTCAAAATTGGAGACACTGGAAACATGGGTATTGATTTAGGAAGCTATCCATGTTCTTTGGGTCAGTAATTTTGGGTCTACAACTTTGGGCTAACAAACTCCCGGTTGGTGGTTTTGACTCCCAAAAATATGAGTAATCTCAACCAATGATGCCAAGATATCTCAAGTATGGTTGAAAAACAATACAGGAAGAGGACAGTGTCATCCCCCTGCGTCCCTTTTGTGCCTCCGCCCAGGTCAAGATCGAGTTTGACATCGCCTGTGAAAAAGCTGCTGGGGCCCAAATTGCCAATCTAGACATATCCAAACTGATATATACATCAACAGTAAATCAACATGTTACCAGTAAATCAACCAGTACATCCACTAGAAGAGAAACAAGTTATCAACATTTATCAACCAGTAAATCTGTCCTGAATGAGCTTCCCAACCACTTTTGCGCACCTGTGTCCACCGTTCTCCCGAGAGTGGATGGCCTAGGGGGGAGACCGCGTCTATGGAGGTTTCCAAAGTCATGAGGGTACCCCAATAGTTGGAGGTTTTATAATGGAAAATTCTATGGAAAATTCTATGAAAATGGATGATTTAGAGGTAAACCCATTTTAGGAAACCTCCACATTATCTTGGGGAAAGCCCTCAAAAATCCAGCAGGTGGTGGATTGTGCAGGGAGAAGCCGGATAGGTAACGCTCAATGCTTGGACAAACCCATATCAGTGTTGGGTCAAATTGGGTCCGATTCAAAGAAATAAATGGGTTGGTAAAACAATGGGCAGTCATTCTCCAGTGATCGGTAACTTTTTCCAGATGCAAAGTGTTAAAATATATCCAGGTTGGTAAAATCAATGGTTGGGCCAATATTTCCAGCTGCCAATTTGCTGCAAAAAAAATGCAGAGTGACGTTGTCTTGCTCGAGTTCTCGAATTCGTCGTAGCGTTTTCCCAAGCCAAAGAGCCTGGCTGACGATCTAACCATAAAGATACCAGCGAAGTCTTTGGAGTACCAAATGGGCACCAAAAAAGGATCAACAAGGTCATTTCGAAGAAAAGCGGAAACACATGTTGTTTTGGGCCCTCACATGCCCTCAAGCATTTGGGACATGCCCGTTTCTGAACTCTGAACCGACTTTGGGAGGTCTTGAAGTTGACATCGTTGGGCTCGATACGTTTACTATCTTTAAACATCATTGGTGAATTATATCCTGGCGATATCCTCATGACTGTTGGCTATAGGCCTCAACCCTTGCGGGTTGCAAGACTATATATGTTTGTTCGCGCGGTAAAATAAAACATTTAACTTCGTGAAACATGAAACATGCCAATGTGTTTTGCTGTGACTGTGGATGTCTGTGGGTGTAGGTGTTACCACGTGTGTTGGTTGAGAAAATATCCGCCTTTGCTTTGGCAAAACAAATTGGTTTAATTGGTATGTGGCAAAAAATATATTTAAAAATTGAGTTGTTGATCCATCTCAAACCCCTTCCAGATCTTGATCTCCCAGCCCCTCAGAAGCATCGATCTGAACCACCCAAAGATGCCTCAAGCACCGCTCAATTGGGTTTTTTGATAGTCGATCTTCACCTTGCTGCGGAGAGGGAAAAAAATATCTGTGAAATGTCCCAAAAAAATCATCTACCACAAGAGATCACAAGACCAATTTTTAGGAGGTCAGTTTTTCCTTCACTGAGTTGGATGGCCATCCCATGGAAACTGAGCAACGAAAACGGGTGGACCTAACGAAGTAACTAAGGGGCAGTGCCGTCCAAGTCATCCTTCATGCCGAATCTTCGAGTGAAAACGCAACTGGATCTCATAAATGCATAAATGCATGATAAATTCCCTCAAAAAATGCATGTCATCATGACAGTGTCATCCACCCTTAACCATTTCTGAACCACTTCGAAACTCATCTCCAAACAGCCCTCCAAACAACAGCTGAGTGCCCAACCACGTTGCCCGGCCACCTGACCGTGCCGTTCCTTCCTCAAAGTTTGAACAGCCTGGAAGGGGCCCGGTTTGCCACATGGAAGGCCCTGGGTGAAGATTGGGAAGCGAGAAATGTTCCAAGGAAAAACACGGACAAGGGTTCAAGGCCTGTTAAAAACCCACACAAACATGTGGAGAAAAAGGATTTGTTTGGGTTTTGTTTCGATGGTCTTGCGTTTGGTTTGGATGGTGTTGATGCTCAAAGTTTCCATTTTCGCGGGTGGTGGGGGTGCTTCCCATGAAAACAAACCCAGAACGGAAAATCCTACCTTCGTTCCCATTGTAGTCCCTTCCCCCTCATATAAAACACTCCCCAGAAGCCATGGTGTAGTAGGGGATTTAGACATCTTTGGGGCCGTTTGAATCATTCAGTTCAGGGGGTGTTCAACATTAGCGGGTCAGGATGAACAATGGTGATAACCTCCATAAAATGGGATATAAACCCCATAACTATGGTTATACCAATCATCCACTTAGAAATTTTAGAAAAAACATCCACTGACTCTGACACTAAAAGAAATGGTAGAAAGGGGATTCTGGGACGGGACAGGTTGCAGGTCAGGTGGGTGGTTGTTTTGTTTTTTTTATGTTGGATTTTGACATGTTCGACTGTTATTATTTGGTTTTAGCGCTAAATGTTTCGTTGAGGTTGTTGTGATCATGTTTGTGTTTGGATTATGGGGATGACTATTGTTACTGTTTTGTTTTATTGTGTGTTGGGTGGGTGATTATTTCATTAATTTTCATAATATATTTTATGTTTTAATCGTTTTATGTTTTCCATTTTCCTATTGCATCCCACCAGTGTTCAATCACTTTTATTTGTGTTAAACACGGTTTCTTTGCATCATTCAGTTCATCCATCGCTATTGATAAAAGAATTAGGTTAATAATTAATCAAAGCGTTGAATTTTCCATCACGATTCAGTTCCTTACCGCAATCAACGATTACATTTTATAAGTGAGGTTTTCATGCATCTTTTTCATTATGTCAAATCTTACAAATGAATATGTTATCATTGCCTTTACTCACTCACGTTTTTTTTTGATCTGTCCATGTTTTTTTTCCAAAACCTGTTTCCTTCCTCATCGTCTGGTGATGGCATAGAAGGACACCGAACGACACCTTACAAACTCTCTAATCTCTTCGTCTTCTTTTCCCATCTGTGTTCTTTCCCATCCTCACTCTCACTATCAAAGACAGCAATGACACAACAAACCTACCACAAATGTTTTATCACGTTTTATTGCGAAATGTTTGGTTGTAGCGGATTGCACTGCTTCCTTTTCACTGGCGCCGCTTCCTTGCCTCAACTCTGGTTAGGTTCGCCAGCTTCGGGCTTCAAACGGCTGGCAGCCAAGCAAGCAGTTGGACGAGACATGACGAGACCACTGGCTCTTGCCCCTTTGATGGTGATGGCTTCTGAGATGATTCCTTCATTTTCCAGGCTGATACTCACAATGTTTGGTAGCAGGACGACACCTTTTAATTTTCCTCACGCAAACCTTCCTTGACGAGAACATCACTCATTGTCTGCACATGTCTGCACCTTGTTCAGCGCCTTCGACATGTTGCCAGTGCCACCCATGTCAACCAGGTACAAAGCACCAGTGATCACCAGTGTCATTCTTGAATATCGGCACACGGATGGTTCCCCTTGGCATAACAGAGAGTGGCGTTCTGCATCTCTGCAACTTTGGCAGAGTTGAGCATCTTGCTGTTCTTCTGAAAGATGTAGCCGGGCTGGATGTCTTGGCTCTGGGATCGAACGAATAGTCTGTCAAATTTAAGCCCGCTGAACTTGCACGACCTACAAGCCAACACCCAAAGATAAGCGGATTCCAAGATCCTCCCAGCTGTTACAGCTGCGCTGGGGTTCGTTTTCAACACTTGTTTGAAGACCCCTTGACAGGAACAACGTAGCATGTTGGCAAGACTAAGTAAGTCATCGTCTTTGTCACGAAGTAGAACCTCCAGCGGTGCCGTGAGAATATCGTGCTGCGCTACAACCTGTGGAAAACGTTTCTCTTGCACTCTGCTATCGCTTTCCTTGATGCCACAGAGCAAGTCGACCAGGCTGATCTGCTGTCCTGCCACTTCATCCATCCACGCCTGGTTGCAATGCGCGATGCACTTCTCAAGCCTTGCCTTGACATCGTCACCGGCATTCACCAAAGTGTTGTTCAGCTTGTCCAACAACCGGTCTGGCTCACTAGATGGGAAGTGCAAGCCGGCAAGGAGGAGCTTCTGCAAGGCAAGTCCAAGTGTCACACGCAATGTTGCCACACGAAGCAGAATTGCCTCGTTGTCCATGTCGATGTCGCCCATGGATAGGCACTCCTTCATGATTGTCCCCACATCTGGAAGCAAACATGCGATCCGTCGTCGGCAAGTTTCTGAAGACTTTTGGTTGGGGAGGGGTGGAATGTCAGCGTAGGTTGCCAAGACCTGGACACCAGGAAGCTCTGCAAGTACTCTCATGGCACCTCTCCGGAAGTCTGGGTCTGGACACATAGACCTGTGCTCATCCACGTGCACCAAAAGCACGCCCTTTGGACTGCGTTGCATGAAGGTGGAGACGTCCTTCTCAAGCATGTCTTTCGTTCTTTGGAAAATCGGAAATGCTCCTGGCTTCCAGCCCCAAAGATATGTCGTTTCTTCGCAGGGCAGTCGAAGGATGCAAGCCAGGCTTCACGCAGCTTGGATGATCTTCCGCATCCAATCACCAGTTGCTCTTCGTCAACATAATCATGATAATTTCCACCGTTGTTGGCAAATGGCATGTATAGATAATGTGTGAAATTCAACCGTGCATCACCCCCAGAGTCTAGCTCTCTGGAACGCTGGAAACCCACCAACACCGATGCCGACTTACCAGAATGGGAAGCCGCTGTGATATAATCAACCGAGGTGCGCATTGCCAGTTCACTGCTCATCCTTTCAGCAAAACTGTTCAAGTCGGTGATCCTAGCATAGAAGGGCAACTGATACAACGTGAGTAGACTACCATTTCGAAGCTCTCTCACAGGTAAGGATGCCTGGTATGTGTCATAGTCCTTCAGCAAAGGAAAGACATCCACTTGCATGTTTTCTTCGAAACAGTCTTTCAGCTTCCCATTTATGCCACCACCTTGACACCACCACGTTTCACCTGCAGCGGCGAGCCTGACGGCCCCTCCTCGATGTGAGGTCGCATGCTTCACAAAGTCCGTGGGAGCCCAGCCCACAAAGGTCAGCAAAGTCAGAATTACAAACCAGAGGCGCCGTTTCTTCGCAGTTCGAGTCATGGCACACTGCTATGGCAGGCTGCTAAAGGCATCAGTGCTGAATGGAATAAAAACGCTCATCTGTGGTTTGCTCACTGTGAAAACAAGAAGTCAACGCCAAGATCTTCAAAAGACCCGTCGTCATCATAATCATGATCATGATCATGATAGTGATCAGCATCATCATCATCATCATCATCATCATCAGGAGACTTCTTCCTGATTTCTGGCATGTATCACCATCTTCAACCCCTTTTTAGCCACAGCTACATTTGGAGTATACAGCTCCCCCCATGGCCTTCTTAAAGGTCTTGTAGGCCGAATGCACCAAGATGGAGATCAGCAAAATCAAGATGAGCCACGAGGGCAAGGAGAAATTCATCACACTGCCCACCTCAAAACGGGGTCACTGGCCTGGTTCCAATTGGATCCAATTGCTGAGAAGGAGCCACCCCAAGAAATAAGCATACAGTAATATATACAGAATAAAAATGTATAAAACACAGTAATCTTGTACAATCTGTCCAACGTTTGCCAAGCAAGAACAACCTTGCTTCACCTTCCTTGGAATCCTCATATTCCATGCACAACTGTTGCAACCGGACCGTGAACCTTGGTGCCCCAGCCATCGCACCCAACAGCAGATTCGGCCCCATGATCAGCCTTGGAGGTTGGGTGCCTGTCCAACAGAGCCAGGATCTTGGTCACGTGGTTCAACCAACTGAGACTATCGAATCGAGGAACAGAGCTGGAGACACCCGCTGTTAGACAAAGTCACCTTCCCAAGAGTGGTTCTCACATTTCGTGCCAGTCTTCCTTGACAAGTGGCTTCTTTCATGAGTGGAAGTTTCATCTGCTGGGTGAAAGACCAATCTGTGGGTGTCCTGTTGACTTAGACTCGCCATATCAGCCTAACATATCAGCCCCTCACCTCCGCCACCATTTCTCGGGAATGGCCAAGACGAATAAGAAGACATCTTCAGCTGTACCAATCCGTTCAGCATTAGTTTCTGGTCATATGGGCTGCAATCCTGCTTGAATCAAACTTTGAACCATGGATGATGTTCCCATTAAACTTTAAACACACCGATTCTCATTGCCATGTTTCTTTACAGTCCAGGACAAAAAAGGGTCCCAGATCCGTGAAATTATATGGATGAAATTAGTCAATCGTTGCATAAAATATGTTTTTGAATGTTTTTGATATCATCCCTTCCTGGGGACAAACATGGACAAACCCTTTCGAGCATCGACCCCCGACTTCCAAGCGCCAGGGACACCAGGTCATAGTCGATCATGGGCTTGTGCCCTTGCGGATGTCGCTGCCGCAAATTGTAGATCAGCGCGCTGCTGGCTCCTGGTCCCACTGGTTCTGAGGTGAATCCACCCATCTGGGCCCAAAAATGAGGCATACCTATGGACGTAACCACCAATCTGGTCCAGTGGCGAAGGATACTCGCCGTGAAAAGACCAGGAATCATACCATGATATACCATGATATACCCACTTCTGGACAAAAACAAAGATGTTTTGGAGCACGAAGTCAAGCTTAAAGCTTCCAAAGTCACAGTTGTTTTCTTTGTCGACATCACGGTGACTGGTGACATCTGGCAGAAACATGCAGAAACTATCTCTGTGTTGGCCCGGCTTCCAGGATTTCAGGTGGCCGTTTCTTACAAAGATGATCTCCCAGCTGTGTTTCATCACGGGAGAGTAGCGGAAAACATGTCAAAACCCGTCGTAGCGAAGTGCCGATTCCAATGATTGTTGCCTGGCTAAAAAACTGGCTCAACTGGATTCCAAGTCCAAAAATCTTGAGTCTTGAGTCAAAAAATCCCTCCACTGGATATTTTTTACCCAAGTCCACCTAGTGGATCTTCAAACCCGTCCGCGTCCTCCAGCTAAACAGGCTTGCGAGACGGCTGTGGCCTCGTGAACTGGAAAGCCTGGCGATGAAGCAACACATGGCAATATGGGGGTTTCCTAAAAATGGCATCATCAAGTCACCATAGGTTTGAATACTAAAATTGTCTAATCTTGGATGATTTGGGGGTACCCCTATTTTAGGAAACCCCAATATATCAAGATGGTAATTAATGTGGTAACTAATGTGGAACAAATGCCAGGTAGATTGATTCTGAATTCGGGATGCAGAATAGAGAAGGTAGAAAAACATGGGGATGAAATAGGATGAAAGTGATTCCACCACATGTAACCAACAGACAATGCAGATATGAACCCAGATGCTGAGAAGTGCCCTGATGAACTGGGGACGAAAATCTGCAGTTTTAGCAAAACGTATGGCACATAGCCCAAAGACCGCACGACAGGTAAAGGCTGGGTCAAACCAGCTCTTACCCGCTTACCCTGAAATTTGGACGGCTCAAGGTCCTAAAAATCACAAAAAGTCGTCAACTCTGAGCTGCTGCCAAACATCTTGGCGAAGAATGCCCTTGCCCGGATGCGAAAAGAAATACCTTTGGAAGATTTCATTCAATCACTACTAAGAAAAGGGCCCGAAACTTGCCATCAATTCATCTCCCAAATCCTGTCACTTCAATCACAATGAACTCATCGGAAAAGTCAACCCCAGATGATCCCTGCCTAACATCACCATCAAGAGCGGCACATACAAACCACCTCCGCCAATGCCCGCACTCAGCGCTAGCCCTCAGCCGTCGAACAGTTGGATCTTCTGGAGGTTATTCATCCAACATCATCCACCAGTTCCGTTGAGAAATGATTTGGGGCTCCGGGACGTGGAAGTTGATTGTTGAGAAATACCTATATTTTTTGGTATCATAGTTTATTCTGTCAAGATACATCTCTGATGCATCTCTGTATCATATATAAATACCCTCTGGTAAACTAACGTAACTATGGAAAATCACAATTTTTAATGGGAAAATCCACTATAAATGGTCATTTTCAATAGCTATGTTAGTATACCTTTTGATACTTCTTGAACATCAACCATCCCAATCATCCCAGTGGACAAGGGCACAAGGGCTACCCGACTGTCAAGCAACTTCTTGGGGAGGCATTTCACCATTCACCCAAGGAGGGCTTGTCCATGCTTGTCCCGTGTTTCAGAACATCTGAACAAATGATTGGCTTCCAGTTGCCGAAATCAGCCCAAAGTTGAAGTCAATCCCGCTGCACCCAGTCCCAACCAAATCCCCAGTCATTGCGAATTGAGAACTTGCCCCCCAACTTCAGTTTTTGATGATAAATCATGATAAATCATGAGATAAATCCCATTTTCTGTTGCTTCAATCCTACGGTAGGTAGGTCCCACTTTTTCTTGGCGAAGCGTTCACCTCTAGAAATCAATCCCAACCGGCCCAACCGGTCAGACTTTGATCGGCCCAACCGGTTCTTCGTGGTGCGAATTGGACGAAATTGGGCACTTGACACAAAAAGATAGATATTCACCAAGATATCGTCAAGATAAGGCGACAGAAAGTGGAGATATTCACCTATAATGGGAATATGACATACCCTCTGGTAAACTAACATAACATAACATAACTATGGAAAATCTCCATTTTTAATGGGTAGTTATCAACTATAAATGGCCATGTTCAATAGCTATGTTAAATTACCAGAGGGTATATGTTAAAGGGATGGAAAAGATGTCAACAAAAATCAGGTAAGGTACAGGGGATTAAAATGGGCATTCTCCATCTCTACCCAAGCCGAAACGGCTTGGATGGTTCCAAGGCAAGCAACCGCTGATCAGAAAGAAAACTATGGCTGCAGCCACGTCTGCACCAGCTGCTGTGCCTGCCAGTGTTTCCGGACCCTGGCAACCTGTAATGAATGTGGTGGATGTCATGACCTACAAAACAATCAAAACAGACAGCATATGACAGAATCGGATTTCATGGAAATCGACCCGGTGGCAGCTGTATAGGGAGCCACCAATGGGACCAACCAGAAATGGAGATCGGTTTAAGGTAAAAATCGACCAGAAAACCATGGCTTTCACATGGTTTTACTCTTGTACTAATAGGCGGGGTTCCAATCATCCAATTTTGGAGCCAAGAGTAAAAATCAAATCAAAAAGTGAGCGTCCAATATATATATATATAGTACGTTTTTTTAGATAAATTTACTAGATGTCATAATTCATGATTAGTTGACTATCATCAATTGAGCCATTAAAAATACCCCTATCCCATCTCATTATACTAGTTGGTTGATAGGTTTCCCTACTATGGGTTATCATGATCCCCAGTAAACCAGGTAGTATAATCCACTATAGCAATCAATTAACCAGGGTATTTTATGGTATTCTTAATAGCTCAATTGTCCCATCCAATTCTGGGGCCAAGCGGCCAAAGAGCGGCTTGTGTTTGCATTTCCAGGACTTGGAATCACCTCGATAGGTTTGCCAACCACGGCTCCACGGCGCAGTTGACGTGAAACAAATGGCTAGAACGATGGTGAGTGCACCTCAATAAGTTGGAATAGTATATATAATATACATATATGTATACATATTATATATACACATAATTTATAATATATATATATATGCATAATATATATATATACACATAACATATCTATAATATATATATATATATATATATTATGTATATACAAGATATATACATATACATGATATATATATATACATAATTTATAAACATATATATATGCATTATATATATACATAATAATATATATATATACATAATCTTATATATATACATAATATATATATACATAATATATATACATAATATGTATATATATAGACAATTTGCAATATATATATATATAGGAATAATATATAATATATATATACACATAATACATATATATATACACATAATACATATATATATACATAATAAATATATATATACATAATATAATATATACATATGCATAATATATATATACATAATATATATATATACATAATATATATATATATACATAATATATATATATACATAATATATATATATAATATATATATAATATATATATATACACATAATATATGTATATATATATATACGTTATATATATACATAATATATATATAGATATACATAACTTATAATATATATATACATAATATGTATATATACATAATATACACACATAATATATATAATATATACATAGTGTATATATACACATAATATATATATATATATACATAATTATATAATATACATATACACACTTAGAACTGGAACTGTACACTTGAACTGGAACTGCACCCCCAAGTAGTAACCACTTCAAAATGCGGCTCTCAACTCCTGCCCCAGTTTCTTCCAAAATGGGTCATGACGATTTTCCCAGATATGGGTCTGTCTGAAAATAGAGTACCCCACCCCATTGTTTCTCATCATTTTTCCTAGAGGATACAATGGCCATATTGTAGTATACCCCATTTTCAGATAAAAAAATATGGGGATTGGTCAAAATTGGGTACCCCAAATTAATTCGATGGTTGTCCTAAAAATATCGACATTCCAATCTCTGGTCCAGGTCTTACATTTTGACCTATGATTTCACAGACCTCTCTTCAACCATCACTGGATTGGATATCACTGATTCACTGGTGATTTACCAAGATTTTCCAGTTATGGATATTATGGTTGATGAAAAGTCTCCATACCCAGATTTCACCAACCGCGCCACAGATGCGCATGGGAAACATTTCGCACTGCTCATCTTGGAAGCAACTGCCGCTGCACATCTCATGCTCCGCCAAGCACACCGCTGAGGGTCCGCAGCGTCTGGCGCTGGCAGTTTTCCGTGGCAAATCCCCGAACGAAATGGAGGTTTCAACGGAAAATCATAGGAACATATGGGAAAATCCACGATGAATGGAGGTTTATAGCTCGGAAAATTATCAATTGGGCAGTTCCATTGCCGTGTTTGATTATACCGCAGGGTATAGAAATTAGATGTTCCTCCCAAAAAAATGTGGTATCATATGGTATTGAAATAGTTGTAAGTTTTAAGCAATCCCCATGTAAACAGGAAATTGCTTCCGTGCAACATGTACCAACTAACTATTGAATCTATTGGACCTTGACGAAGCATTGGCCATTTCTATCGATGTTGGATGGCAACAAGAAGTGCATCCCATATTGTATGGCCATCTTAACAGGAAAGCATATTTCTAGATCATTGGATTTTCACTTTGATCTAGATATTTCCAAATGTTTGGACTCCAATCAGTTTTAGGGAACGTCAAGCCATTCGCAAACGACATGACCCATGAAAAGTGATAATCTTCAGCAAATCCCTTCTCTTGAAGCAGTTTTTGATACTTAGCCCCCCATGTCTTGATGCTTAACGCCCCAGTTTGTTGATACCCTCTGGTAATTTAACATAGCTATTGAAAATGGCCATCTATAGTGAGTTTTCCCATTAAAAATGGTGATTTTCCATAGTTATGTTAGTTTACCAGAGGGTAAAGCCCCAGTTTGTTGATAGCTTAAAGCCCCATGCTTTGATGGTAGCTCCCACCAAGACCTGAATGCCCCTGTGAAGTTGAGCCAGGATTGGCTTCGCCAGTCCTGGTGGATTGGGACCCAAAAACCCATCGGTCCCATCCCCAAGAAATTCAGCATGGAAAATACACAAATTCAATTGGGCTCCAAAAGTCCAAACCCAGACTGCTTGGGATGTGAACTGCAGAAGGGCTTTGACAGACAACTGTAGTCGACGCTTCGGAAGTTCAACATGGCACTGCAAGACAACCTATTCTACAACTCATCTACAAGTCACACAGGTTCTGTTACCATGTCGTGTTTGTGCAGCAGAGACAATTTGAATATAACCAGTATCTACAGCAACCATGGCATTGTGGGATGAATGTATATCACAGAAAATATTTAAAGTACTTAAAATTACATGCACAAATTCGACATGGAAACTCAAACAGGGCAATTTCCAAGAGTAAAATCAGCGTCCAACATATTAGATAACTTGTTTCCTCCCCCCTTGCACCAGCATCCCGCAAGTGCCCAAGTTCAGACTCACTTTGATGATTATTTCATTTTGTGGCTGGTTTGGAACTGGTTGGGCTATGTTGGGCCCTGGCCAGAAGAATCTTACCATCACCTTCACCGCGAATCCACTATTGCCAGGTTAGATTACCTGAAGGTATGGCTAGGGATCCTTATAAATACCATTTTCAGTGCTGAACATCCATAAACCCCAGCTACAAGTTGGGTTCAACAAAAGAGTCCACTGGTTTTTGATCCATCGCCGTACTATCAGGTAATAAATCTGTTTCATAATGTTATGCAGCATATATATATAATGTATATATATATTTATTTATTTATTTATACATATGTGTATATATATATATATTAATATATGTATATACAGGGATATTTACAGTTATCCTTATAGCAATTATATGCAATTACAATTATATATATATAATTGTACGTATATTATATATACAATACACAAATACATATCCGATACCAACCAGGTTTATGCACCACTCCCATCCGCCCCTTCTTGTCCTTCTCCGTATAGCAGCCACCCTCGTGCCAGAACGACACGCTCCCGTCCGGGTGCGGCAAGAGCGGCGAACAGGCCACGCGGCCACCCGTGAAGTCATGAACCACGATGACCTGTGCAGCCCGGTTCGAAAAATGGTGAACCAGAAGCATTCCTAGCAACCCAAAAAGGATAGAAAAACATAGAAAAACAACATTCGACCAAAAAAATCCAAACTAAATACGGGAAAATTCTTGTTCAATTTTCGTGGTTGCTGAAATAAGCATAATAAGCCATATACAGACTGTACATGGTTCATAAACGTCTCACAAAATAGTACACAGGGGCCGCTGAGGGTTGCTGATTGGGAGTTGTTCTGTGGTAATCACACATGGCTTGCTGGCCAATTCCCGCTTGCAATAGATATGTATATAACATTCTGTGGCTAGGAAGATCAGCTGTTGAAATGGAAAAAATGATGGCGGAGTGTGCATCGCAATCTCAACTTTGTCAGATCAAAAGTAGTTGAACTCCAAAAAGCGCTTGAAACTTCACGAATCGTGGGTCTCAAATTCGAAAAGCCCAAAGGGATAAAGTAGACCACGCTCCCAAGCAGGCCACTTCCCAATTTTGGTTCGTAGTCTCCACCTTTGATAGATATCCATCAACAGGTCCTATAACATATTCTAAGATACTATAATGTCCAATATTATAAGATTCTTACTGCTACAGTCTGAGACCATCAAAAATTATTATTTTTTCATTTTTTTTTCATTTCCATTTTCATTTTCATTTTCATTTTCATTATCATTTTCATTATCATTTTTTTTCATTTTTGCTCATCACCTTTTGCCATCAAACTTCATTTTTTTTCATTTCCAACTTCATTTTTTCATCATTTTCAACTTCATTTTTTTTCATTTTCAACTTCATTTTTCATTTCAATCTTCGTTTTTTTCACTTGGAACCTGATTTGCTCATGTTGGGCAATTATTTTTTGCAGATTTGGAAGCAGTGTCCAATGATTTGGAAGCAGTTTGTGTCACATGATTTGGGAGCAGTTCCGTGCAATTTTGGGAGAAGTTTGACATAGACACTAGCCAGCCAGCTTGAGTCCTTGATAAATCTCAGAAACAGGGCCGGTGGCAGCCTGCCAATACCAAATCGTAACGGGCTGTGATTCTCACCGGTCAATTACCAGTGGGAGGTAGATTTCAAATGGTGATGATCGACTGAAATCAGATATGCCCTACTGGGAAAAAGGCTTAATTACAACTGGTCATTGACCACATGGCGTTTTCAGAGTTCGATTGGAGCTGAGCAGTTTTCACACACGGTGTGGCCATTTTGCGAGGGCGTGCTTCAGAAAGCACACAGAAAAGGTAGCAGGTAGCAGTACCAGGTAGCAGCATCAAGCATTTTATGCAGATCATGGTATGAATAAATTAATAAATTGTACAATACATTTGAAAACAGCACCATGGCCAAGACCAAGTGCATTGGCATTTCAATTTCACTTTGCGCTGCGCTTTCCTGCGTTGTTGCGATGGTGGAATCTGACTTGGGAGATCTGTATTTAGAACAGGTGGCACAAACAAAAGAGTTGCTGCAAGACACCCACTCTGCGTGCTGTGCAAGATCGGATTCTGAAGAAGACGAAGAACTGTCACAATCTACTGGCAGCAGTTCACAACCAAGACTGAGGACACTTAGACTTAGTTTGTTTGTTTGAAGGTTTTGTTAGTTTTCGTTGCTGTTGTTTTGCAGGCAACATGTTGTAATGTTGTAGTTGTAACATGTTCGCTTTTTTCGGTTTGCTGAGGTTTGCTGTTTGCTGTTTGCTTTGCCCAAACTTGCATACAAATAGAAGGACAGCTAAGCTGAGAATCTGCCAATGATGACTGATTGATTAGATTTTGATAGTTTGTTCATGGTTCATGATTCATCAGTGACCATCAGTGTAAATAAAACAACTCAGGATTTGGTGGGCGAAACTACTGCGACAAGCTGTTCAAAATCTCGGGCTTGAGTGGATTGTGCCACAAACCACTATGAATATTGTTTCTGCGTGCACTGGTTGCAGTGCAGAGTCCGCGGTCATGAAGGCGTGTTATGTTGGATTTGTGTGACTTAGACTTAGACTTACACCCAAGGATTTGGGATGTTGATGTTGTTGTTAGGTTTGGTGTCACCTTTCCTTGAAACTCAACTCAGCAGGTGGTGTGTTGCTTCAACACTTTTACCCGCCTTTTACTTGGGGTTGCTTGTTTGTGAACAGGAGTTGGACGTCGACTACAAGGTTTTCGCTGCCAGCGATTTGAGATCCTGCTTTCGAGACTTCTGTGAGGCCAATTACCCTGGTCGGATATTGCATTGGTACAGCAGCATTGCGCTTCAAGCTGCTGGGGACACAGTTTGTGATTTCTGCCAGCAACAATGCAGCATTCTGGGCAAGTGTGATCCTGTCAGCGACCTTCAAGGAGAAAGTGTGAACTTGATGGTAGCTGGATCACCATGCAACCCTTTCTCACAACAGAGAACGAAGAGGTTCCTCGCTATTGCGCACAGTAACTTTTTTCAGGAAAAAACAAAAACCCGATAGATATTCATAAAATGTTATCAAGCATTTTTACAGTTTCATAAATTATGTTTATGTTATGTTATGTTTCAGGTTTGCAATCAAAATCAATATTTTTCAAGAACCTGTCAGCTAACCAATGAAAATGAAAACCAAAGTGTCATAGTAAGAATGGTTCATAATACATACTTACCAAGTTACTATTTATTAATCCAAACTACAAGTAAGTGTATTTTTGGTCTGGTGTGGTGGTTTCAATCTGAGGTGGGCATCTGGCGATGTGGTCCATCATCACCTTTACTCAGTGACATCGAAAGATGTTGTTGACCTCCTACATGTGTATGAGCCAGAGCGTCTTCTTTTGGAGCAGGTCCATGGATTTACACTGCCAATCGAGTCTGGAAGCGCAGAGACTCCAAAGCAAAGGCTTGGGTTTGGTTTGGTTCAGTTGAAAGATATTTCACAAACAAAAGGTTCCAAAAGGTTAAAAGGTTTACCAAATGAATTCAATTCAGAACCAAATCTAATCAAATCAAATCTCTTTGTTTTTTAATGTTTTTTCTCTCTCATCCTTTTCCTGGATTCTGGTGTTTGTTGAGTCTGTTGTTGATGAGAGCTATCTACTAGCTGGTTCCTTGATCTGACATTATGACTATGACATCATTATGACATACTATGACTCAATGACACAATGATCAATGACAATGAGACATATCATATCACATATTCATGATGCAGGTAAGTCATGTGAACAATGACTGATATTATTATTATTATATACAATATAATGTATTATTATATACTTAGTCTATTAGTTGGTTCTAGCTATGTGATTGACACAGCATCAACAAATTCAGTCTATAGTTTAGTATTGCATGGGCTCCTAGCCCTAGCCACTAGTTAATGCACGATATGGTGAGTGTTGTGTTGTATGCTTGGTCTGCCCAATGCAGGTTCATTCAAGCTTTGGGCAATGAACAATGGATCCATGGTGGCTACTGGTTGGTCTGCCATACAATGGATGCCAGCATCTTCATCAACATGCTGCGGACGAGGTGCCTAGTCTTGGGCAACACACTGCCAACTCACTAGTCACTAGTCACTCACTAATATCACTGAATTTTGAGTTTTGTTTTTTAGAATTTAAAATGGGATTGGGGCGGTTGGGGTATCCCATGTGCCATGACGCCAAATAAGGCAGCAAAAGGTTTTAGATTTGACCGTAAAATCTTAGAATGAATCCAGAATTTAGATGACAAACTGTTTCAAATCAACCCCAAGAAATTCAGACTCCAGACTCCAACACATTGGTAGTTAGTCATGGTTATGTGTTGCGATCCAGACAAAGATTTTCATTAGTCATTATTTGGCTGCTGTGTTTCCACGATTGACACCAACCAAAAGATTGTTCTGTTACTATGGTACTATGGTTTGTCAGAGAGTCAACATGACATGACATGAAAACCAGACAGCAGTATACCGACTTACTTACAATTTGTGTTTCCAGCTGACGCAAGACAAGGTTGACTTCATGGTCCAGTTTGATTATTCTATTTTCAACACTCTGGATTCGGTCATAGGTTCTTCTTCCATGTTCCACGAGGTTCACCAACATGACCAACATGGCAAGAAAACTTTTGACTTATGGGTACAACTATCCGGGTTGAGGTCGGCCACAGCCACAGCCAACTTCACTTATCTGCAGCCGTTTGGGAGTGACATGTGACTATGTGACCAGCTTTTACCAAAAAGAAAACATCACTATCAGATCAGGCAAAGGCCCTCAACCGCTGAGCCTAGCTGTGAATTGAACATTACTATCAGATTCAGATCATTCTCCGCAAAACATAAACATAATAAAAATGAACCAACCAGTAAGTAGCCAAAAAGTCACTAGCCACTATATAGTCAAGTGACTCCCAACACTTTTTTATATCTACTAAATATCTACTGAGCATGCTTTTGCCTTGGGCCTGGGCCCACAATGGATCCTGATACTGATATTGATGAAGATGAAGAGTGCAACTCCGACTCTCTTTTAGATGATTTGTTTCGAGATGCCTCGGCCTCTGACTCACAGTCCCATCAAGCAGCAGCAGAAGCAGCAGCAGCTTTGGATGATTTGTTTCAAGATGCCTTGGCCCCTGACTCTGACTCACAGTCCCATCAACCGGCAGCAGAAGCAACAGCAGCAGCCAGTGTTGATCCTCCTGCTGCTATGCTTTTCCAGCAGCAAAGGAAGCGAAAACCGGGTGGTGGCAGGCCAAAAGGAACTTTTGGCAGTGCAGTGTTGAGGCAAGTTTGTAGGGAAGCTGCAGCAGGGGACAGCACCATCCAACCAAGGCAGCCAGCGCCAGGGAGCAGCATAGAATACGCCAGAAAAATTCTACAAGAAAAAAGAAAACGCAGGGAAGATGAACTGGCTCTCTTGTCTGCCGCTACAGGAACACCATCAAACATCCCCAAGCATGAGCATGATGCGTTGAGGGAGTATGGTGATTTTATCAGCACTCATACAGTGGGTTCAGAGCTGCAGGCTAAACTTTTTCAAGCAGTTGGCACTGCCCGCTCACAGAATATCTGCACTGATGATGCCGTAGTTGACAATGCTTTGAACGGTAGCATGCAAACCATGAGCTTCAGAGCCCTACAGTCCATCACAAAAGAGAGCAATCTTGGAAGGAGATTGGTTGCCATAGCGAGAGCTGTGCTGGAAGCAGGTTTCTATCTATGGGCATTGTTCTTTGTTTTGATCATGAAGATGTGCAACACAGACAATGCAGCTGGCGGCGACTCACGCTTCAAGCTTCTTCTCTGCTGTGTGGTTCTCAGGTATGATGAGACTCCTACCCGGGTCAGAGTTGATGAAAGCAATGACTTGAACTGCTTGGACTCAGACCTCTTGCAGGAGCCATCATCCACTTCCGCTACACACGCCAAAATTTTGCAGGTTGAACAAGGTTTTGGTGTGCTTCTGGTAGATTCTTCAACAGGCACTTACTCCTTTGTGAAAGGGCAGGTGCCAACTGGTTTATTTGCCCTGAAGTCTACTGATGGCAAGACAACATCCAAAGCGCTCTTGCGTGTGCTGAAATCCATCAATGGTTTGAAGGACATTGGCAGAAAGTGCAAATTTCGAGTCAGGCACTCTTGCACTGATCAAGCAAAGAGCAACTACAGTGCAGAGCGTTTGGTGACAGCTCAGTTCCCTGACTGGCTTTTACATCACACACCTTGTGATGTTCATCGCTTGTACCGCTGCACCCGCACGGCAATGTGTGGTTTGGACCATGATGTTTCTGGTATGTTGAGCTTTGCGTTGGCACTGGGTGCTCCTGGAAGCGCCGCTTCATTGCGGAACAAACTGTCGCAAATCATTGCTCGAAGGCTTGCCGCTTGACTCACTTGACTCGACTCTGACTGTTTTGAAGTCGGTTTTGTTTTGTTTTGAAGTTTTGATAATCTGATAATCATCTTGAATCTTGAATCTTTGCTTGAATGGGAATGTTGATGATGTTGACCTCTTTAAACTTTGACTTCGGTTTCATGACATGAATTTATTCCCCACATTGACGTGTGGGTTTTTTGTTTTTAGTTCTGTATCCGCGCCTCCTCCTTCTCCTTCCCGTCCTCCCTCCTCAACACTCACTCACACACACACACACTCACTCACACTCACTCACACACACACACTCACTCACACTCACTCACACTCACTCACTCACACACACTCACACACACACACACTCACTCACACTCACTCACACACACACACTCACACACACACTCACTCACACTCACTCACTCACACACACACTCACTCACTCACACTCACTCACACTCACTCACTCACTCACACTCACTCACACTCACTCACTCATTCACTCACTCGCTCACTCACTCACTCACTCACTCACTCGTTGAGTCTTTGAGCCTTTGAGGTTGTTTACCATTCTGCTCCAGAAGTTCACGCTGATTCTGATCGGTACCGGAGACAGCTCTATGACTTGTTTCTTCCTATAGATCATGTGGAACCCAAAATTCGGAAGAGGAACAAAAAGAGACGCTTCATCCTGTCCTACTACCTCAATGGACGGTTGGATCAATGTGAACTGCAACACTGGTGTGCATTCAATTGCTGCAGCAGTTTTGAGCAGACATTGCAGCGGGTCAGTTCTGTGGTTGCTTGGGCACTTGTGCCCACAAAGCCACCTCTTTTCGCAAGAAGCAGGTGGACCAAATGGGACCAATCTCTCGATTATGTGGGGCTTCTTTGTGGTGTTCACAGGCTTCTGCCAGAGCTGGTTGCAGAGTTTCTGGGCCCTGAGAAAACCAAGGCCAAGGCTGAGACACATCATCCCGATGTACAGCCTGAACATGGACCCACTGATGAGGATGGAGAAAAACAGCTCGAAGATTTGTTTGAGTCTTCGAAATCGAAAGCACAGCCTTTGCAAAATGCACAGCCACAGCAGCAAGATGCAGAGCCACAGCAAGAAGATGCACCAATACAAGAGGCAGCTGATGATGTTGGGTTGGATGGGGGCGGTGTGGGCGACGGCGAGGGCGAAGGGGCTGAAGCAGCTGAAGCCACTGAAGCGGCTGAAGTCAATCAGATGAAGGGAAAGTTTGACTGGCAAGAGTTCAATCGCCAGCAGAAAATTCTGACCAGGAAATGGGCACAATCAAACCCTTTCAATCGGTTGTCCTTGATGAAAGAGTGTGCTGAACCATTGCTGCACCTGATGTACAAGTACTTGCTATACAGCGGAAATGGATGGGAGAAAAGACAGCAACTGCTATCTGCAAGAGGACGTCGCCGGGCATATGTGATTTCCGAAAAAGCATATGGACACGATGCTGAAACCTGCATTCAAGAGCTACGACGCTTGCTCTCTCGTCACCCCAAAGTTCTGCTTCAGGATCAGTCTCAGCCAGAGGCTCTTGCACTTCTGAGGTTCAGGGCTCTTTCCAGTGCATTGTGTTCTTTGCATGCTCTGCTCCGCTTGCCACATCAGAATTTTCCTTCCAAGCTCTTCAAGCTCTTGCTTTCAGATGATTATGCTGAGGAAATTCTTGCAGAGCCTTCTTGCAAACGGGATGCATTGGCGACCCTTTTTCTCAGTGTCTATGCAACTTGGACAAAACGTGACTACGGTAACTACTGTTTTGGCACACAAACCCTTCCAGAACTGAACTGCAAGCTACAGTAACCAATACTGCCGATACTGTACTATTGAACTATTGGTTGTCAAAGTCAGGGTCTCTTAAAAAGCTTGTAGATATGTCTATGGCAGTGGTCTATGGACTTCAGCGGGCTGTATGTCAAAAGATGGAAAATAATGAGTAATAAGTAGTAGCATCAACAGATGGAATTCAAGTGATTCATGTGACGATGATGATAACAATGATGGGTGGCATTTCTTTTTCTAATTTGTTAATTACTTTACTTAGAGTTATCCCCACCATGACATCTATAAGTTTTGCTACTGGCAAATCTTCTGGCATTCTATCTGACATATCTTCTGGCATTTTATCTGGCCTATCTTCTGGCATTCTATCTGGCATATCTTCTGGCATTCTACCTGGCATATCTTCTGGCAAACATTCTGGCATATCTTCTGGTACTCTATCTGGCATATCTTCTGGCATATCTTCTGACATTCTATCTGGCATTCTATCTGGCAAATCTTCTGGCATATGTTCTGGCAAACATTCTGGCACTTTATCTGGCATCCCTTCTGGCATTCTATCTGACATTCTATCTGGCATACCTTCTGGCAAACATTCTGGCATATCTTCTGGCATTTTATCTGGCATATCTTCTGACATTCTATCTGGCATTCTATCTGGCATATGTTCTGGCAAACATTCTGGCACTTTATCTGGCATCCCTTCTGGCATTCTATCTGACATTCTATCTGGCATACCTTCTAGCATTCTATTTGGCATATCTTCTGGCATTCTATCTAGCATATCTTCTGGCATTCTATCTGGCATATCTTCTGGCATTCTACCTGGCATATCTTCTGGCAAACATTCTGGCATATCTTCTGGTACTCTATCTGGCATATCTTCTGGCATATCTTCTGACATTCTATCTGGCATATCTTCTGGCATTCTATCTGGCCGTTGAGGTCCAGCGGTGCTCACTGAGCTCGGAGGGTCCCAGGTTGAGGTCCAGCGGTGCTCACCGAGCTCGGACGGTCCCAGGTTGAGGTCCAGCGGTGCTCACTGAGCTCGGAAGGTCCCAGGTTGAGGTCCAGCGGTGCCCAGTGCGCTCAGACCCTTGCAGTTGAGGTCCAGCAGTGCCCACTGCGTGCGGAAGTTGGCGAAGAGCTTGGCGAAGAGTTGACAAGGCGGAAGTGAACATGGGAGTGGATGCAAAGGTGGTGGAGGAGAAGCTGGAGGAGAGCGAGGGGGAGGAGAAGGAGGTGGAGGATGAGGAGGAGAAGGAGGTGGAGGATGAGGAGGAGGAGGCGGAGGAGGAGAACAACTGTGATAAAATCTAGCAACCCTCACCTGGCAGGTGAGGAAAAAAGGAATGGTCCTGTAGAGATACTTTCTTTAAAGGAACCAAACTTTCCAAAAGAATTCTTCAAAGACACGATCCGTCAATTTCAAGAAATGTGTTCACTTGAGAATGCATGCTTTCTCTCAAAAACGCAATGTGTGTTTGCAGGGAAGCAGCTACCATTATATATATATATCAATAATGCACTATTCATGCAACATTCAACATTTCTTATCTCTTTAATAGGATATCATTATTCAATATTTTTCAATCACATACTTACATATAATGACCAAATGACCACCTGGGCACTGACTTTTGCATATGGAATGAATTATATTGATATAATATGTGTATTATGTTGTGTTAGGTATTTCAATTTTCCAGCGAACTGAACATTTCTTTCCACGGCTCAGGACACACCATTGAAACTCTGTTCTCATGAAGCAAAGGCTGTCCTGGAGTCACTGGCATCGATGGTGTGTACAGACATTGCCCAGATTGAAGCTCGTCATGCCAGCAACCGAGAGGCCTCTTTAATGAGGGCAAAAGGTTGGTTAGCCAGCTTGGCAATGTTGAGTTCAAAGTTTGTTCTGCACTTTGCAAGAAAGCTCAGATCCTTTGTTGGGCCCAAGTCCATGGGAGAGCAGGCAAAACCAGAGCAGCAGAAGCAGCAGAAACGTCGTTCACCACATGTCTCAGGGTATTCGCTTGACAGCTGCTTTTCTGAGCGATCTTTCCAGGCAGTATCGGAGATTGACACCAGAAGAGAAATTGCGATATGTAGAGGCAGGGGAAGCTGCAACTCTTAGCCATCGCATCGGCTTCAAGTCTTTTCCAAATCACGTCAAGAGTTCTTCTGCGCCTTCTGTGGCTGAGCCCATGATGCAACCAGGGGATATCACTTCTACTGGTGCTATGGTTGCTGCTGATTACAGCCTGGCACTCCAGCAGGGGCTCTTGCAGTACACTGGCCCTGATTTTTTTCGTGAGCAATATTCTTGCTTGAAATCAGAGGTTGGGAAGAGAGGGGTTCGACGAGATGAAGATGGTTTGACAGTGGAGGAACAAGAGGAACTCGAACAATTCAGGGGGAGAGATATAAGCAGCAATGGCGTTGTCTCACACCTGCATGAATTGGAACACACACAGGTCACAGGAGCTCTTGCAGCATCTGGGTCCCAGTTGACAAGCCTCAATGTTCTTCACTATGTCCCCCCCATGCAGGAGGCAGCAAAAGCGACTTGGCAGCTACTAGCTGCTAAGGGGCCGTTAAGGTTCTTGCAATCATTTGGTCTGGGCGAGTTATGAGTTGCTATTTCAACTTCCCAACAAGGGGAGGGGCATGGTGAAACAAAACATTCCTTTCAATTACAATGATGCCACCATGTGTTATGTTATGTTTGTTGATGGTGGGTTCCCCATCTTGGTAAGAAGATGTGATGAGTGTTTTCTTTGGTTTTCTTTAGCAAAGGCAAGGAAAAAGTAACATAATAATTTGTTACTAAAGTTACTAAAGTTAAGTACAGCCAGCTAAACTTGAAAGTCACTGGAGTGAGGCAGCAATGTGCTCAGCAAATTTGGAAAAGCGGAGAAAGCTTGCCCTGGACAGTGAATTGACCAACGTTATGCTGAAAGATTCTCAATTGGTCCAGCCGGAAGGTGATGATGGCAAAGACACATCTGAACCAGCAGCTGAATTTCGACCAAAGCCTTGTTGTACTTTGGGGATTTGCATCTGCCAGGGTGCAAATAAAGATGTGGCGTTTTTCATTTCCAATCTGAAGATGTACTTTCGAAGGCTCTTTGCCTGTCGCAACAAGATCAAGACTGAAGCAAGGAAATTGCTTGATCAGTATTCCATTGTTTTTCAATTGGATTGGGCGAAACCAAGGGCTGAAACATTTGACACCATGACAGACACGGCACCAGGAGGGGAGATCAGCAAGAGTGCTGATGATGATGATGTTTCTCCTGAACTGGAAAGCCTTTTCCGTGATGCATTGGCTTTGCCTCCGTCAACACCCGAGCCTCAGTTTTCCTCCCTGTATTTTCACATTGGTTGGATCAATTTGCAGACTGTCCATTTCTCAGTGCTGCAGTTGTGTCGTTTGGACAACCACCAGCCGTCATCTGATGAAGGTCTGAGTGATGTACAAGTACTGACGCCTGTGCCTATTGATGAGTCAAACGATGGAATCTACACTTTTACAGAAGCAGTTGTGAAACTGATGGATCTTCATTTTGCTTGGAAGGTATCAGTGCTGCAGTTTGTGTGCGAATATGGGGGCTGGTGTTTGCACCATGATGGTTCTGTGGCTGTGGGGCCTATTCCGGATGTTCCTGCATTTGTGGTGTGGCAAGGATCTGCTGCTGAGTCTCAGCGCAGAGCGGTTACAAGAAGAGTATCTGCGAAACAGGCCCAACCAGGAAATCGGAAAAGATCCCAAGCTCAACGTGTCAGACAACCAGTTTCATCTTCAGCTGTTGTTCAACAAGCCAAGAAAAGAATGAAGACAACTGACTCTGGAAAGCAGCAACTTGAGGCTGCTGCTGACCGTGATGAATTGCTTCTACTGATTGAAGAGATTAACAACCAAGAGCAAGGGGAGGCTGGCGAGGATCTTGATGATGATGATTCTGCTTCCCTGGCTGTCGATGTTGGTGGTGATGGTGCTAATGACGCCGCTCAATTAGAGGATCCTGGGCCAACCAATCTTGATTTTTTTTTGGCCCCAAGGACTACCTGTATCTACCCTGGACCTTGATTCAAGGACCTTGAAAAACTTCAAGTGGTTCAAGGGGCTTAGCAGACTTAGGACCTAGGGCTTAGGGTTCCCTTTTTCATTTTTTTGGGTCAGGGCAGGGTCTTAGTCAAGTCTTAGTCATACTCATTTGTCCTCTTTTGTTGGCCGTTTGGAAGAGCAACCAGCTCAAGTTCAGTTCAAACCCTCCAAGTTTTATGTTGGTACTGTTCAAGGAACTGCTGTCACTGATGGTGATGTGCTTTCTATTTTTGGGGTCTTAGATTAGACACCATAGATTATAGATTATAGATAATGATATAATAGCAAAAATATTGTAACTAGCCTACTATGAGCAGGTCAATTTCATGCGCAGTGTGTCCACCATCTGTGTGATGGATGCACCAGTCAGAAAACCGGACCAGTGTGCTTTGTACATTTTGACTTCGAAATGTGCTTCCACAACGGCGTGCACTTTTTCGACATTGCAACTTCCAAAAGTGCTCTCGTGGGGTGTTTTGTACATTTGACTTCGAAATGTGATTCTCGCCACAACGGCGAGAACTTTTTCGACATCTCAACTTCCAAAAGTGCTCCCATCGTGAGGTGTTTTTAGCTTTTTCACTTGCAAATGTGCTTCTCGCCACAACGTCGTGCACTTTTTCGACATCGCAACTTATATATTATATATTGTATATATTATATATCTTTTAACACATATTTTATCATACTTTATAATATATGTTGATGGCCGTTAGCCCATCTGTTGTTCTTGGCCAAACAATGAGGAAAATCTTGCAGAACTTGTCGGTCCACCTGGAGGAGAGGGGCTAGCAGGTCTTAGCGATGATGATGATGATGATGAAGCTCAGCTAGAGCTGGAGCAGCAGGAGGCAAAAATCATCCAACAACTTCAAGGTGAATGCTCACCTCATCCTTCATTGAATCAGAATCA